AATAAATAAATAAATAAATAAATAAATACTATTTTCCACATAAACAGAACTAAGAAAGCAATCATCCCATTGGATGCAGAAAAGAAAAATTGAATAAAATCCAACATCCCTTTGTGATAAGAAGACCCTCAAAAACCTGGCATTGAAGGAGTACACCTCAAAATAATAAAAGCCATGCATGACACATCCATGGCTAACATCACACTAACTAGGGAAAGACTAAAAGCATTTCTCGTAAGAAGTGGAACAAAACAAGGATGTCTACTGTCACCACTCCTACTCAACATAGCAGTGAAAGTCACAGCCAAAGAAATCAGGCAAGAGAAAGAAATAAAAGTCATTCAAATGGGAAAAGAGGAAGTCAAATTATCTGTCTCCGATGACATGATTCTATACATAGAAAGCCCAAAGATTCCTCCTATGACATCCTACCTGATAAATTCAGTAAAGTTTCAGGATACAAAATCAACATACAAAATCAGTATACACAAATAATGTTCAAGCTGAGAACCAAATAAAAAACTTAATCACATTTACAATAATCATAAAATATAAAAACTTTAGGAATACATTTAACCAAATTGGTGAAATCTCTCTACAAAGAGAACTATAAAACATTAACGAAAAAAACAGTAGATGACAGACACACACCTCTGTAAAAACTTTCCATACTCATGGTTTGGAAAGATCAATATTGTTAAAATGACCATACCTCCCAGGGCAATCTAGAGATTCAAAACAATTTTTACTAAATTACTGTAATGGTTAATATTAAATGTCAACTTGATTGGATTGAAGGATGCAAAGTATTGATATTGGGTGTATCTGTGAGGGTGTTGCCAAAAGAGATTAACATTTGAGTCAGTAGGCTGGGGAAGGCAGACCCACCCTTAATCTGGGTGGGGCCCATCTAATCAGTTGCCAGCAAATCTAAAGCTGGCAGAAAAATGTGAAATGGCTAGACTGGCTTAGCCTCCCAGCATACATCTTTCTCCTGTGCTGGATGCTGCCTCCCCTTGAACCTTGGACTCCAAGTTCTTCAGCTTTGAGACTTGGATTTTCTTCCTTGCCCCTGAGCTTGCACATGGCCTATTGTGGAACCTTGTGATCATGTGAGTTAATAATACTCAATAAATAACTATATATTTATAAACGACTATATATATATTTATATACACACACATACATATATATGTGTATATCCTATTAGTTCTCTTCCTCTAGAGAACCTTAATACAATTACCAATGTCATTTTTCACAGAATTAGGAAAAATAACCCTGAAGTTAATATGTAACACTCCTATAAAGCTTACATAGTCAAAGCAATCCGAACTAAAAAAAACAAAGCTGGAGGCATCACTTCACATGACTTTAAATTATTATGCAAGACTATTGCAACCAAAACATTATAGTACTGGTACAAAAATTGACATACAGATAAATGAAACAGAAGAAAGAACCCAGAAACGAAGACTCACACATACAACCAACTGATCTTGGACAAGGTAAAAAAAAAAAAATAAATAAATAAATAAGGGAGAAAAGTCCCCTTATTCAATAAATGATGCTGAAAAAACTGACTAGCCATGTGCAGGAGATTAAAACTAGACTCCTACTTCTCACAAAAACTGACTCAAGGTGGATAAAGACTTAAACGTAATACCTGAAGCTATAAAAATCATAGAAGAAAACCTAGAAAAATCTCTTTAGATATCGGCCTACTCAAAGAATTTATAACACATCAAATGCAAATATATCAAAACAAAAATAGACAAATGGTACTTAAAGAGCTTCTGCATAGCAAAACAAACATCAATTATTAGACAAGCTACAGAATACAAAAGTTATATTTGCAAACTATGTATCCAGAAAAGGAATAACATTCAAAGTCTATAAGGAACATAAATAAATCAACATGTAAAAAACAAATAACCATATTAAAAAGTGGACAAAGAACATGAGAAGACACTTCTCCAAAGAAAATGCACCTTCAAAGAAGAAACACATGGGGTCAACAAGCATATAAAAAATATGTTCAACATCAGTATTCATCAGAGAAATGCAAATCAAAATCATGAGATACCATCTGACACCATTCAAATGGCTGTTATTAAGAAAGTCAAAAAATAACAGATGTTGGTGAGGTGGTGGGAGATAGGTATGCTTATACCCTGTCGATATGAATGTAAATTAGTACAACCCCTACAAAGAACAGTATGCAGATTTCTCAAAGAACTAAAAGTAGAACTACCATTTGACCCAGAAATCCCACTACTATGTATCTACCCAAAGAAAACAAACCTTTCTGCCAAAAGACAACAGCACTCATATGTTTTACACAGCACTATTCACAATAGTGATTGAATCAACAAAGGCATAGAATCAATTTGAATTTCCATCAATGGTAGATTGGATTTTAAAAATATGGTATAAAAGCACCACAAAATACTACACATTTACAAAAAGTAATGAAATGGTGCTTTTTGTCATCTCTAGGTTATTATTCTAAGTGAAGTAATGCAAAAACAAAATAAAATATGGCATGTTTTCATTTATAAGTGGAAGCTAAACAATGGGGACCCATGGACCTAAAAATGGAAACAACAGACACTACAGACTACAAGACAGAAGAAGCAGGGAAGAGTGCAGGGGTTGAAAAGCTACCTATTGGGTACTATGTTTACTATTTGAGTAATGTGCTTACTAGAAGCACAAACCCAATTATTATACAATATGCATGTATCAAACCTGTGCATGTACCCTGCAGACATATGATTAAACAAAAAATTCTTAATGAGATAGCAGTAATTTGATATTTCTTTCAAAGTGTTAGATATAACTACATATATCTCAGTATAAATATCTCACAACAAAACCGGGATCATTTTTTGTTAGTAAAACTCTAGCTATGAGTAAAGCAACAATACATTTTTTTGTTACTTTTCTGAATTTTCTGGATAACAGATAACAACCCGTATGCTTTTCTGAGTTTTTTGGATAACAACATTAGATAAATACAAGAAATAGGGAATAAATACTTAGCAAAACATGCTATTTTTAGATTATATGATTGCATTCTTGAAAGCAATATTTGCACAGCAATTAACATCAATAGTGTAATTCAATAAGGTAGCTGGGTACAAAATTCATATACAAAGTGCAATAGATTTTCAATATATAGTAAGTAATAAACTGGGAAAATATAAGGAAACAATATATCATTTGCATCAGCAACAGATATGAAACACTAAGATATTTAACAAGTTTGGTGCATGGCATTTAAAACTTTCTTGAAAGAATTAAGAGCTAAATTAATACACAAATATTCTTTGTTTTGGGTCTCAAATAATCCAGAGAAGATATCCCTGTTCCTTACATTAATATAAAAATTAAATATTATTCAAACAAAAATAATAAAACTATCCTGACAAATTTGCATTGAAGCTATTCAAATAGCATATACAAAGCCACATTATTTCAATGCAAATTTGTCAGATGACATTGAAATGTCACCCAGATGACCATTAATAAAAAGTAATAATTAGTCATACTGGTTCTTCTTCCAGATTTTAAAATAAGATGGGGAGGCAGTAAACCATATTGCCATGTGTGTACCTATGCAACAGTCCTGCATGATCTGCACATGTAATCCAGAACCTAAAGTACAATTTAAAAAGAATTTGAAACTCTTTCTTGTGTCTGGGCAAGGTGGCTTATAATCCCAGTACTTTGGGAGACTGAGGTGGGCAGATTGCTTATGTCTGGGCTATATTGTGAAACCCTATCTCTACAAAAAATACTAAAACTAGCTGGGTGCTGTGGCATGCACCTGTAGTCCCAGCTACTTGGGATGCTGAGGTGGGAGAATCATTTGAGCCTGGAGCCTGGGTTGCTGTGAGATATCATGCCCCCGCATTCCAGCCTGGGTGACAGAGTGACACCCCATCTCAAAAAATAATAATAATAATTTGATACTCTTTTTGAATAGATTAACAAAGATAAGAACACAGGCATTTTAGAAATACTCTCAAAATATATGTTGGATTTTAATATAAATGAAATCCAATTGAATAAACTTTTAATATGATTTCTAGGATTTGAGTTACTCCTTAGGAAGATCCAAGACTTCCAAAATTATAAAAATAATTTGTCCCTATTTACAGCTTTGTTGGATCTGCAATTTATTTCAATATCACAAGTGCTACATGGAGTTGAAAACATAAACTGTTGAAATAGTACCAAAGAGGTACTATATTTTATCTATCAAAGTGGCAATGGATTAAATTTTGATAAAGTTCACTGTTGAATAGAGTAAAAAATTAATACTTTGGTATTTGTAGTGGGAAAGTAAGCCGTTACTTATCTGTGGGGAAGGAGGACCTGACTATATCTACTAGAATTTAAAATATGATTTCTACATCTGAGAATTTATAGATGTATTCATATACATGTCCAGAGACCATTATACTATTTGTTGTGTGTGTGTGTACACATGTGTATTTACATATAGCTGTATAACTCCCTATCTACATTCTCTCTCTCTCTCTCTCTCAGCCTATTATCTGTGTGCATAGATATGTACCTCTGTAAACCATTTCTTGAAGGATACAGACATGCAATCTTTTCAGTAGTATCTTTCTAGATTGTAATGATAGTAGTGAGGGGATATACACTTTTTGATTCTATTCATTCTCATGCTTTTGCATTTTTACCATGAGAATATGCTTTTGATAATAAAAACTTTAGTTAGAAATGAACAGCTTGTGTAGTTGCCAATATCACATGGAATTAAAATGTTGATTGACTTAATTTATAATTTGTTTTACAACAATGCACATAAAAACATAACAGAATTATGTGATATTTGTATAAAAACCAATTGCAGCCTCTAAAATATGTTGATTGACTTGTTTAATTATAATTTGTTTTACAACAATGCACATAAAAACATAACAAACAGAATTATATTAAATTTGTATAAAAACCAATTGCAGCCTCTTCCTGCCACCCAAGATGCCGAAAGGAAAGAAGGCCAAGGGAAAGAAGGTGGCTCCGGCCCCTGCTGTCATGAAGAAGCAGGAGGCTAAGAAAGTGGCGAATTCCCTGTCTGAGAAAAGGCCTAAGAATTTTGGCATTGGACAGGACATCCAGCCCAAAAGAGACCTCACCCACTTTGTGAAATGGCCCCACTCTATCAGGTTGCAGCGGCAGAGAGCCATCCTCTATAAGCGGCTGAAAGGGCTTCCTGCAATTAACCAGTTCACCCGGGCCCTGGAACGCCAAATAGCTACTCCGCTGCTTAAGCTGGCCCACAGGTATAGACCAGAGACAAAGCAAGAGAAGAAGCAGAGGCTGTTGGCCCTGGCCGAGAAGAAAGCGGCTGGCAAAGGGGATGTCCCCACTAAGAGACCACCTGTCCTTCGAGCAGGAGTTAACACTGTCACTGCCTCAGTGGAGAACAAGAAAGCTCAGCTGGTGGTGACTGCATACGACATGGATCCCACTGAGCTGGTTGTCTTCTTGCCTGCCCTGTGTCGTAAAATGGGAGTCCCTTACTGCATTATCAAGGGGAAGGCAAGACTGGGATGTCTAGTCCACAGGAAGACATAAACTGCTGTCATGTTCACACAGGTTAACTTGGAAGACAAAGGTGCTTTGGCTAAGCTGGTGGAAGCTATCTGCACCAATTACAATGACAGATATGATGAGATCTGCTGTCACTGGGGAGGCAATGTCCTGGGTCCCAAGTCTGTGGCTCGCATTGCCAAGCTCGAAAAGGCAAAGGCTAAAGAACTGGCCACGAAACTGGGTTAAATGTACACTGTGGAGTTTTCTGTACATAAAAATAATTAAAACAATACAAATTTTCCTTAAAAAAACCAATTGCATTAGAAATATAATAGATTTCATTGTCTACTATTATGTAAATATATCATAATTATTATCTTCATACTCTAAAAATTTCCAGGGCCTGTCCCTCATACAAAGTAAATCTTTTTCAGGAAAGTTCTTTAATTTTAGGTAGTTAGAAATTTAAAACATATTTTATGCCCCAATGCCTCAGATCTTGAATTTTCAAGATAAGATGATGTACAAGGAAACATTAAATTTATATGTATATATACATGTATTTGCAAATATACATGTATATATGTATATATCTATCATATATATTTATAAATATATGTACACACATCTATATATAACATAATTTATTCAAACATTTTTTTTTCCTGTAAAAAGCCTAGAAATAAATCTGGCTTTGTTTCGAAAACTATGAATCATTTAGTCAATATTATTTTAATGATCTATTACAAAAGTTTATATAGCATTGGAATAAAAACATATTATTCAAATGGCACACACAAGGTTACATTATTTTATATATAAATTGGCTCTTTCTTTAAAAAGATGAATACAGCTCATAGGTGTTCATTTGTTTACCAAACGTTTATGATTTGGAAAATCCTATTCAATATTTCTACAGAGAGCTGTTGAAAATGCTGCATGCTTCAGTAATTTACAGTTTTTGAATTAACGCCTAGTATATAATGTGCAAATGTGATTATACAAATCTGATCTTTCATTCGCTTAATGGTTTTAGAAGATTTTTGTCAGTACCAAGGAATAGCTCAGAAATAGGCAAGTACTTTTTAGGGAGCAATCATTTCCATTCACATGAATTCTATAAATCAAAATATTTACTTACTAAACTTTCATACCTGGAAAGACTGCAAATCTCTTAATTCTTTTCAAATTATTCCAATACATGCTGTTTAGCATGCAACAGAAAAGCTATAGACAGAATACAGCTGTTATAAATATATATTGTGTCAGAATATCAAATTAATTACTAGCTCTGAAGAAATATACACTTTTAGTATTTTCCTAGATCTGTAACTACCACTTGGAGGATGGGGAGTTAAAATCAAAGCATGTCCTTATGGTACCTGTGTGCATATTTTACAGCTACATTTTGAAAGAGAAAATTTTTTTTCATATAGGTGCTCCAAAAAAAAATCCCAAAAAAGAAATAAAAGGTCATTTGCAATCCACTAAAATATCAATGCACATTTTAAAATGTGGTAGTGATACTGGCATAAGAGAAAAATAAAATGAAAGCAATTGGAAGTAATTGATGAGACACATAGGTATCATAAACCTGATTTTTGTAAGTTTAAAAAGTCAGAGATATACCTGTCTGAATGAGTCCCCACTACGTGAGTAGTTTGTTTATCCTTATCCTCTGAAGTCGGAATCAACCATCAGACTGGTTAAGAAGGCAAACAAATCTTTCTGATGGGTAGATAGTTACACAGATTTGCAAATGAGATAAACAACAAATAGATAAAAGAAGCATATTTTTATAGAAAAGGAACACATGCATAAACCATTAATGTGTGTATATGCATTACAAAATCAGAATAAACAACTTTACAAAAGTTAACAGCTTGGAACAATTATGAAATTATTCAATTGGATACTGCTATAGTAGACAGTCATGGGGTAGGAGGACAGGGTCAATATTAACTTGATTGCTTATATTTCTTTTTAAAGCAGTACCACAAGAAATTCAAGAAAAGAGAAGTTACATGATGAAGTAAAATGCTTTAGAAACCATTGGAAATCAGGGAAGTTACTGGAAAAATATTGCATTTACAGAAAATGTAAACAACAGTAAATATCTAAAGGGAATCATGCACAGCTTGTTAGACAAAGATTACATATATTTTGACAAACAGGAAAATAATATTTCAAATGAGTCACACAGTAAATATATTTTAAGGCACCCTTGAACCTATGTATTTCAAAATGCAAGAATATTACAAGTTCATATAATGAAAAGTTGAGCAGATTAGGGTTTTGAGACAAAATGAGGGAGGTTCAAATAAATTTGAAATTCAAATTCACAATGAGTAAGCTTCTCAATAATATTTAAGTATTTTTTTCTACTAAAAGTTATTTACTGTTTATATAAAGTTCAAATTTAGCTGAGTAGCCTGTATTTTTGTGTACTAAACCTGGCAAACTTGCAGCTGAAAGGAATCACAAATCTCTTCATTTTCTTTCAACTGCACTGATAATCCCATTTATTATGTATACCTTTCTATTTACATCTTAATATTTACTTCTTAATGTCAATTTTTGTATTTTTATGTTCTAGAGTTTCTATTTGATTTTTTGCTCTAGATTTTATATTTCTATTGAAATTATCTATGTTTTAATCCATTTTCTTGAAAATATTAAGTGTAGCTCTGTTAATGCCTGTGTCAGATGACACAGATAACTTCCATATTCTGTGATATCTTTGTAATATTGTATCTTTTTTTCTATTGGTTTTCAAACTTCTGTCCTGTACTAGTTCGTTCTCACACTGCTATGAAGATACTGCTGGAGACTGGGTAATTAATAAAGAAAAGAGGTTTAATTGGTTCACAGTTCCACATGTCTGCAGAGGCCTAGGAAGCTTCCAATCATGGTGGAAGGTGAAGGGGATGCAAACTTGGACCTTTTCACATGGTGGCAGGAGAGAGTGCCCGCAAGAGCAGAGAAAATTGCCTTATAAAACTATCAGATTTTGTGAGAACTCACTCACTATCACCAGGACATCATGGGGGAAAATACCTCCTGAATCCAATCACTTTCCACCAGGTCTCTCTCTAAACACCTGGGGATTACAATTTAAGATGAGATTTGACTGGGGACCCAAAGCCTAGCATATCATAGACCTATTTCCTGGCAATGGTTTTTGGTGCTGGACATACTGTTTAAAAAATTATAAAGGCTTTAGATCATGTATTTTTCTCCATAAATATTTGTATTTTTTCTCACTGGCAGGTAGAGTAGGAATAGATAATTTTGATGTATAAAATATTGGTCTATATATGGTTTGACTTTATACATAGGATAAAGCACTTCCTGGACCTCAAATGAAAAGAAAAAAAAATGCCCTGAATCTAGATTCTTGTTTCCCCAGGATAACATACTGGATTCTTTTCTATACATTCTGGCTCTTTGAAACTATTACAACATCACCTTTACTTATTTGCCTCTAACCCAGGTCATGGGTACAAAACCAATTCGAGAGAGAATTTCATGCACAAAAACAGGGTCAGTTCTCTGAAACTTCCTTTTCCCTGAGATTTTTGCCCTGTGTCTCCAAACTGCTTTGTCCCACTAAATTCCAATATTGTTACTCCAGCCAGGGAGACTATGGTAACATACAGGCTGCTGCATTCAGTTCAGCATTTATACATTGAATGAGGAATTGACAAATGTACCAAGAGTAAAAATGACAATGCGAATCTTGCCTCAGTGTGTTTCCACATGTCTCTGTGAATTATGACTTTTCATCTTCTGCTTGTCTTGGTTATCCTCTGATACCTTCAGTCAACTTTTTAGAATGTATCAACTTTTGACAAGGTTGCCAAGATCATTCATTTTGGAAATAGTCTTCAAAAAATGGTTTGAGACAACAAAAGAGCCACATGCAAAAGAGTGAAGATGGACTCTTACAACACAACATATCAATAATTAACTTTAAGTGTATTAATTAAGTATAAGTGCTAAATCTGTAAAACTCATAGAAGAAAATGAGTAACATTTTTGAACTTGAGTTTTGCAATGAATTTTTACAAATGCACCAAAAGCATAAGCAACACAAGAAAAAAATGAATAAGACTTTATCAAAATGAAAAACTTTTATAATTCAAATGACACTATCAAGAATGTGAAAACAGTACCCAAAGTAAGGGATGAAATATTTGCAAATCATATTTTTGTTAATGAACTTATAACTGAAATATATAAAGAACACTCACAATTTAAAAATAAAAAATATGACCCAATAAAAAGATGGGTGACAGATTTGAACAGATATTTCTCCCCCCAAAAAATACACAAATGGCCTATAAGCATGCAAAAAAATTGTTCAAAATCATTACTAATCATGGTAATATGAATTCAAATAGAATAATAAACTATCTCATGTGCACTAGGATGGCTTTAATAAAAAAGTCAGGTAATAACAAGTGTTGAAGATGTGGAGAAATTTGAACATTTATACATTTCTGGTGAAAATAAAAAATAGTGCAGGCCCTCTCTGAAATAGTATGGCAGTTCCACAAATAAGTAAATAAGAGTAATACCATGCTATCCTGTAATTATTCCACTTCTAGGTGTCTACTCAACTGAAATGAAAACATACATAAAGATACAAACTTACACATAAACGATCATAGCAGCATTATTCATAATAGACAGAAAATGAAAATTCAAATGTTTATTGACTGACAGATGGATAAACTAAATGTGGTATATATCACTCAACCATAGAATGAAATAATATACTGGAACATGACATAACATGGATTAATCCTTTTTTTTTTTTCTTTTGAAACAAGATCTCACTCTGTTGCCCAGGATGGAGTGCAGTGGCATGATTTCAGCTCACTGCAACCTCTGTCTCCTGAGTTCAAGTGATTCTCCTGTCTCAGCCCCCCGAGTAGCTGGGATTACAGGCACGAGCCACCATGCCTGGCCAACATGGATTAATCGTAAAAAATATTCTGTAAAGTGAAAGAAGTCAGTCACAAAGACCACATATTTTATGATTAATTTACATGAAATGTCAAGAATAGACAATTCAATAAAGTAAATTGGTGGTTACCTAGGGTAGGGATATGTGGGAATAGAGGCAATAGCTAAAAGGTACAAGGTGTTATTTATTTGGGGTGATGACAATATTCTAAAATTGACTGTAGTAAAGGTTTCATACATCTGTAAATTGCTAAAAAATCACTGATTTATACACTTTAAATGAGTGACTATTTTGGTATATGAATTATATTTGAATATAATTATTCCTAGAAGTGTATCC